CGGGCAGGAGGCCCTGGGTAAGCAGCTGGAGAAATCACCAGGTTTGACTTGGCCAAAGGATGACTGGGCTCGGCCCACACACACCCAGAACACAGCTGAGGAGCCCCCAAAGCCTGGCAGGCCCCTAGGGCAGAATCCAACGGAAGGGCTGGGGCTGCCTTGGCATTAACTGTCTGGCCATTCACAACCCATAAATTAGCAAATCCCCAGGCTGGGAATCCCTACCCTGCTTGTTACCCAAAGACCGTGTAACACCCAGCCATATGGCTAAGCTAATGTCTTATCACAGCCATTATAAAAAGCAGCAAGTTAAAGATTACCCAGCAGAGCTAAGATGAGGCCTCAGAAATCAGAGGGACATTTTTTTTTTTTTCACACAATCAAATAAAACCAGGACTGAAGAACTTTGACTGCAACTCTGGATGTCTGAATAAGAGAAAGAAATAAGGAAGAAGGAAAGGAAGGGTGGCTAAGGCAAGGGAGAGACTAAACACACACACACACACACACACACACACACACACACGTTCCCTTCAATGTCGTCAGCACAGTTTAACTGTGCCTCCTCTGCCTAAACTGTGAGTTCCTAAAGACTGCCATCTTCCTCTTTCTAGCTTTGGTGCCCAGCACAGGACGGGCACATTGCTGGAATGTAATGAATGAAGTTGCCAGATGCTTCAGCCAGGCAAGGTGCCATCATGTAAAACCTCACCAAGGGACCCAAACACACACCTCACAAGATCTTCCCAGGGTCTCTATGCCACCTCAGGCTGCCCTGGGCCTCTGCACTGGGTACCTACTGAGCAGGGGCAGGCTCTCTCGGGAGCTCGCCCTCGCCCTCTTTCCCTCTCAGGCGTGCGTATTTACTTTTCTCTCCTACACTCTTAAGGGTCCAACCGAGAGCTCTGGGGAGCAGCCGCTCATCCCAGGCTTACCTCACGAATCTGTCTCCAAGACCCCCTTCCCCCTGACGTTTCAGCGAGCTAACGGCAGCCCAGCGAGGCACATTTCATTAGCATGTTTCTGGAGAGCCAAAGCAGAGGGCCACCTGGGCTTTCTCTCCTCTTGCTTCTTCTACCTTAAGCCTCCCTCCCCCCCTTGGTTTCACTGTTCCCAGCTTTAATAAATACACCCCACACTCCCAAAATAAAAAAAAAAACAAATTAAGAAAAAGAAAAGAGCATTGGGCAGGGAAGCCAGGAGTCTGGGTTCCAGCCTGGGCAGGCCACTCCCCTCTAGCACAATGAGGGCTGGGAGCCTGGGGACTAGAGAGTGCCAGGAAGGGGGCAGTTCGAGTCCAATCCCACATTTGGCTCTTGATCCCCGTGCCCCAAGGAGTTTCCACCTGGTGGAGTTTCCACCTGGTTCGTCAGGCAAAGGCTCCCGCATTTGCTCAGAGCCTGGGAAGAAACACAGCAGGCGGGAATCACTCCTGCCCCCACCCGGAAGCCAGAGAGCCATGGAGGGTATTTCTCAATCGCAGCCTGTTGGACTAGAAGGCATGTTTGTGTGTACATCAATAAATATTTTCCCCAGAAAAGCAACAGGACAATACTGGCTTACAAAACCAGTTACATAACCTCCCAAAACTTAAAGATCTGGACACAAGGGAGGCTCCTTGTGCCTCCCCGAACCCTTAGGATGAGGCTCCACCCCAAACTGGAAGGTGATGAGGTCCCAAGACTCAATCCCAAAGTGGTGAGAGAGCCCCTGCCCGAGCAGAGGCCAAGACAGATGTCCTCAAAGTACACACTGTCCTGGGCTTCTGTCCACACGTGTGCATATGGAGGGGGAGGCGGGGGCGCGGAGGGCATGCTGGTAGAGAAACACCTGAGAGCTCTGTAAATGCTTCATCTTCCCGTGGGCACAAACTGAGGCAGAGGCCCGGCTGACAGCCCCCACAAAAGCCAGGGAAACTGGCTTATGAACAAGGGGCTCGCAGAGCCCTGGCTACCTGCGGCTGCTGTTTGCCGGCCCAGGTGCCCATGACTTTCTGGTGCCCACCTATAGGTCAGAGCCTTCCTCATGGCACTGCTGGGCAAGAGGGGCCTCTGTGTTTAAAAGCAGTCTCATACCCACCACCACCCACTGTCCCCATGTACCCTCGAGGGGACTGTGCCAAAAGTCCCAGGCCCCAGGGCGGATGGGGGGGGTCCTGAGGGCTGCCCTACCTCCCCTAGCCAGTCCAACCTGAGGCTCTGCCCCCTCCCTACCCAGCCCCTCTCTGGGATGGCGGTGCCAGCGCCACATTGAGCTGCCGCCAAGCCTGAGCAGAGATAACAGTGCAAGGTCACCGCCCCTCCCAGGCTGAGTGTGTTGAAGGCAAAGACCCCAGCAGCCAGGAAAGGGGCCTCACCACCACCAGGTCAGCGGAGTGTGTGCCACTCCGCCCTCAGGCGGGCGGGAGGACATGACCCACAGGCCGGAGCACCCTGGGAGAACTCAGGAGCCGCACGCTAGCTCATGGGGTGCCAAAGGCAGGGCCTGCTAGGGCTCCAACCACTATCCTCCTACCCTGCGTTACACAGGCAGTGTAGGCAGAGACGGGGTTCAAACCAAGTCGATCTGAAGTCAACCTCAAAGCTCTGACAGCCCACAACGGATCTCACAGTGACCCGTCGACAGCCCAGCATGGCTCCCCGATGGAACAGGGCACGGCGGCGGTTACCCACCACCTACCAGCCGCCGGGAGGGATCGAAGCATCTGCTCCCGACCCCTGGACACCAGAAAGTAGAGCCACATTGTAGAAAGGAACTGCAAGTAGTGAAAAGGCCACAGCTCTCAACCCCAGGGATGCTTTCTCCCACCAACCTCAAAACCACCCCACAGGGCTTTAGTAGACACCTGCCCAGCTGAACAGATGGGCCATCCCACCCTCCAACACACACACCCACACACACACCCACACACACACCACTCACTCCCAGGAAGACTTGCAGCTCTCTTAAGGCTCTGTCCCGGCCAGGAACTTCCCCTCGGAGAGCTGCACCCAACCACTCAAACCTAAGGGCTCAATTAAAATGGAGAAAAACCCTCCACCCCCACTTTCCGGGGCTGCCTCCACCAGCCGCCTAAATACCAGGATCCCATGCTGTCGCAGAGACCCAGACAAGCTGGAGAACTGCCAGGGCCTCTCTCTCCTCGCCTTCTCTCTCAGAAAGTCCCTTCCAGCCACCAATTCGGAGTTGACTCAGAGAGGCCAATAACTCCTCACCCATTACTAGGAACAGCGCTGTTATAAAACAATGCTCAGTGAGCGACCACAGCCTCTCCTGATTCATCCGGAAGGCCCTGCACTCCAAACATCAATCAGATGAACTTTGGGGCACTTTCATTTGCTAATTAATTTCTCTTTCCTTCTGCTGAAAAGTCCAGGCAACTATTACAAACACGAAAGGACCAAACGGCAGTGCCGGGATGGGGGACACTGGCCTCTCTGGAGTAAGGAAGGGAACTCACTCTTTCTTCCTTCTCTCCTCAAACTCTCCTCGGGAGCCTGAGAAATAAAACTTCAAGTCCCAAGTCCACGTTGTCACATACTTAACATACACAATCTGGTTTCGTTCTAAAAATAACCCAGTGAGTTCATCACAGACAACCTCCTCTCACACATGAGAGGCTCGGAGGAACTGCATCTCATGCACTTGGCGGTGCGTGAAGATTCGACCTCATTCTATGGGACCCGTCTGCTTCCCAGAGAGCATCATCCAGTCCAAAAGAACCCTGTGTTCTGCTTTAAGGAAAGTCCCCCCCCCCCCTTATTGCCACCATTCATGTCTGACCAATTGCGAGAGCTTCCTCCCAAACTGGATATAAAAAATGTTGAAGTAATTATTGGAGAAATTGAGCAAGAGCAAGTAAGAGGCCCGCGCTGCCAGGATTCTGCGGAAAAGTGTAAGAGTTCCTACTGGCAGGGTGCCTGCCTGCTTGCCAGGGCCCCTCACCGGGAACAGCCTTCTCTCAGCCCTGGCATCAGAAATGAGCAGCCACCTGTCTGGTAATCTTGGAAGCAAACCTGTGGCCGCGCTGTGCTGGGCTGCCTGTGGATACAGGTCAGAGAGAGAAGTTCCCGAGGAGGCTCTGCCTCCTCCGACTCAGGGAATTCGATCCCACCCACCCAAGCTCCCAGTCTAGTTGAAAGAGAGGCTGGTATGATTAAGGTTCCCATCCTCTAGGCATGATCACTCCAGGCTGCTCCCAGAAAGGGACGACTTTCAGGTTATCAGCCTCCAGCCTCCGGGACTCACATGTCCGTTCCCACAAACACCACCCGAGACCCCTGGAAGGACCTACACCTCATGGAGGTTTGGGGAACCTATAAGGACAAGAAGCAGGGGAGAAGGATCCTGAGCACAGCGGGGACAATTTACGGAGGGTTTACCCTCATTAATACAAACCTTTGTGAACACTGCTTTAGCTTATAATCTTCCAAAACGACTTGTGGAAACAGGTACCATTTATTTATCCCCCATTAGACAGGCGAGGAACCAGAAGTTTAGGGGAAAGTCAGGAAAAGAGGTTAACCCACTCAGCTGAGAGTGATTCTGAGGAAGGAAGCCAAGTTGAACTGGGAGGTCAGCTCCCCGTCCGCCAAACCGGAGCTGCCTTAAAGGTTGTTCCGAGCCCTAAGCACTCAAAACCCAAAACGTCTCGAGGCTTAGGGCCGGAGCAGGGACCTCTTCAAGGCCCTCTCTCTGGTTCTGGGGCCGGAGGGCCCTGCGGCTTCCCCTTCCAGCACCCGGCCCGGCTTCCACCACCACGAACCCCAAAGGGACTCCCCTCCCAACCTCTCACCCACCCCCCTCCAGCCCGAAACCTCTTGGGAGATTAGGGCTGATCCGGAATAGGTAGCTGTCTGTCCCGGAGGAGGGCGTGGGCACACGTCCGGGACCGGGGGTGGGGGTGGGGGTGGGGGTGGGGGTGGGAGGGAGTGGGGGGACCGGTCGGGGAAATCCGGGGGAGTCCCAGTCCTCGGAGTGCCCCCCCCCCGAGTCCTTACCGAGCAGCGGGGACTCCTCGGGGCAGGCGGGCAGCGGCAGGGCGGGGACGAGGGACCCCGGGGCCGCAGTCAAGTTGCTCGCGAGGCCGGGGAGGGCAGCCGCGTCGGGGCCGGGATCGCTGCCCCGGGGCGGCCGGGCCGTGCCGTCCGCGGGCGAGGGCTGCCCGGCGGCGGCTTGCAGCGGCGGGGGCACCCCGACCAGGTAGGGCAGGCGGCTGAGGTCGCGGCCGCTCAGGTAGTAGACGAGGGTGACGCCGAGGTGCAGCGCGCAGACGGCCACGAGCAGGCGGCAGGCCCGCTGCAGGGACGCGCCGGGCATCGCGGCGCTGCCGCCCAGGAGCGGCTCCCGGAACCTCATCTTGCCGCCGCCGCCGCTTTAAGAGGCGGGTGGGCTCGGCGGGTACGGGGCGGCCCGCCCGCGGGCCCCCGGCCAGGCGCGGCCGGACCGCGGGGCTGGGGGAGGGGCGGGAGGCGGGAGCGAGCGCGGGAGCACAGTGACCGCCGCCGAGACGCGCGCCGCCCGCCCGGCCGCCGAGCGCGGAGCAGGGCGCCCGGGGCGCGGGCGCGGGCGCGGGCGGGGCGGGGCCGCCGGGGGCGGGGCCGGGCGGAGGGATCGGGGGGAGCGCGGGGCGGGGTCTGCGGGGGGCGGGGCCGGTCTGGGGGCGGGACCTGGGGAGGGGGGGCTGCGGGGGGCGGGGCTGTTGGGAGGGGCAGCTGGCAGCCCCGAGGCGCCCCAAGGTGCCCCGGGCGGGGTGCTGCCCAGGTTCGGCTGGGGACGCTGGTGACAGCCCCGAGCGCGGCCTCCCGAGCTCGGCGGCAGCGGGACCTGGTCACTCGCGGAGCAGCCGCGCCTCCTCCTCCTCCTCCTCCTTCTCCTCCTCCTCCTTCTCCTCCTCCTCCTCCTCCGACCCGCCCGCGAGAGGCGCCGCCACTTCCTGGGGTGCTCCGGGCTGGGACGGGGGCCTGGCCAAGAGGAGGGCTGAGAAGAGAGCCAGCCGGTTGCTGTTTGGGGGGATTGGGGCCTGCGGGGTGGGGAAGAGGGGTGCAGAGAGGCTGTCCCAGAAGCGGGCTTCGGCCGGGCGGGTGGCGGGACAGCTGGGAGGGACTCTCCTGGAAGTCCTGAACCCCCTTCCTTAGGCTACGGCCGTGGGCCCAGCGTGAAGACGTGTCTCCCCCCCCCCCCCCCCGCCCCAGCCCTGCGGAAAAAAGAGTGGGTGCGTGTGCTTCTCCTGAATAGCCCAGGCTACGGGGGTGTGTGTGTGTGTGTGTGTGTGTGTGTGTGTGTGTGTGTGTGTGTGTGTGTGTGTGTGTGTTTGGGGGGGTGTCTCTTCTAGTGCATCCCACCCCACGAGGGTACGCGATTTGGGAGCGAAGCGAGGAGCCTCAGTAACTCCCACGCAGGCAAGCGGGAGGAGAGCAGCCGGCTCTATTTACAATCCACACAGGTCTGGACCCATTCCTGTGAAGTAGGAATTGTCCCCATTTTGCAGATAAAGAGTTCAAGGCTCAGGAAGGTGAGGCCTGCATAAGATCCCACAGCTGTTGGGAGGCAGGGACGGAATTCTGGCTCCATAACTTAAAACAAAACAAACAAACAAACAAAAAACCCACACACATGTTTAGTCCTTGTTCATTTGCAAGTAAGGGCTAGAGGTTCTTTGGGTTCAAATTTGACCCAGAGGCCACTCCTCAGGCCCACCGAGTGCATAAGTGAGCAGGGAAACCTCAGCCCTGATGGGGACTCACGGAGGCGCTGTCACTTGTATGTGGATGATGGAGAAGCTGGGGGCTCTGACAGCCACTCTGCAGCGGCGGGAAGCGCCGGGAATAGCAGAGATTGAAAGTTGATTATATGCTGGTCAGACACAAGCCTAACTGCTCCACACATTGTATCTCATTCAGTTCCAGCTACCCTGCAAAGGAACTGCTAGTGTCTCCATTCCACAGGTGGAAAAGCCCATGCTCAGGAGTTGGCCCTTGGTTGTGATCCTACAGAATCCACTTTCTTCTCTTGGCTACTCGAACCCCTGACTTTCCTGGTCTTCCTCACTCCACTGGCACACCTGTCTCTCTGATGGGCTTCTTCTGCCTGCGTTAGCCACACTAGCCCATTGCTGGTCCTTGAACTTGCCCCATTTCTTCTTGCCTTGGGAACTTTGGCTGCTCACTTAGCCTGGAATACTCTTCCCCCGTGTGTCACTCAGATCACTCAAGAGGCCCCCTTAGACCACTTTGTAGGAAGTCCCCCACCCAAATTTGCTTAAGCAGCTTGGTTTTCTTTTGGAGCAGACACCACTACCCAACATGAGACGTTTCATTGTTGCCTCTCTCCCTCAGCAGATCAGCTCCGTGAGTGCAGGAACGCCCATGTTCACGCTGTATCCTCAGTTCCTAGAACTGAACCGGCACACAGTTGGCACAGAATGAATATCTGTAAAAATTCCTGTGAAGTGAATGTTTACGATTGTCTTGCTAATGTAGGAAGGGGAGAAGGGAAGAAAGGTTGTTGTTTTAGAACACAAAAGTCAGGAGTTGTTCACCAGGAAGTTGGTGCCCATGGAGCTGACTCGATCACAGCCTATGTATGCCCAGCGGAAAATGCCTGGCCAGTGAGTGAGGACGGGTCAGGTTGGCCCCCACCAGAAAAACGAGGGGAGAGGAAAATGGAGATGTTTCTTCCATGCGTCTAGGTAATGGCCAGGAGATGGGATTGAGGGGAGGTTAGGGTCACAGACCTGTCCCTTTCTGTGGCCAGGGGTTGCGGAAAGGAACGGACACTTGCTCTATCCCTCAGGAACACGCAGAGTCCACTGAGGCACAAACACCAGCCTCACCATCTCTTGTCCAGAGGGACTTAGAATCAGTACGTTTCTTGCTTCAGAAAGCTCCAGAAGGTCAGAAACCGTCAGGACAACATTGTCCAACATGAACTAGATTTAGAGAGCCAGACAGACCCCAGGCCACCTTCTCCAGCTCTTCCCACTCTCACCTTTGTTAGGTGAAACAATCCATTCAGGGAGATGCTTGAAGGAGGAAGTTGTTAGGCTGACTGGCCAACAGTTGGGATCAGGATTTGGTAGTTTGCCTAGCCCATGCTGATCTGCCCAGACTCACCCAGCCCTCTGCTTCTCTCTGCAGACTGCCTTCAGCTGGGTAGAGGCATTTTCTCTGTCCTTTACTCTCGTCTGAACCTGTCAGTTTACCTTTCTGTTTTACCCTAGTAGGTCAGAGTGCATAGAATAGTGCCTGGCCCTTGGTAGACAATCATTACAGTTGTCTGTGGCTGAATAGCACACAACCCCAAAACGTAATGTCTTAAAACTAACACTTTCTCACAATTGTTTCCTGGGCTGTGCTGCTTCTCCACGTGGTGTTAGCTGGGGCACGGGCACAGTTGGAAATTCCAAAGTGCCCCCCCGCCCCCTATGGTTGGCAGTTGGTGCTGGCTGGGGCCTGGGTCAGAATGGGTCGTGGGTCAGGGGCCTTGGTTCTTCTTCCCATGGACCTCTCCACATGGTTGCTTGGGTTTTCTCACACACTGGAGGGTGTATCCCAAGAAGGGGCATTTCAACAACAATGTAAATTCCTTAAGGCCCAGCCCTAACCATCACTTATGTGGGCACTTTAGTTATAGGGGCATCCAGATTCAAGGGGAGCAGAAATAGACTCCTTGGGAGGAGGGGTTGGCAGGCATCTTTTGTGATCCACAGGAGTAGGCCAGTGGTCACAAATGGTTTCTATTCCTTCCACAAGTAACATGCATTCATCTCCTCCAAAGATTCCCCAAAGGAACAACATCCCATTAGGACTTCTGCCTCAGGCTTCTGGTCCAGAATCTGGCTCATCATTTGAATCAGGCCTGCGTGCTCACTTTGGCAGCACATATGCTGAATCAGGCCTAGGTGTGGCTCCTCGGGTTCCAGGGAACCATAAAACATAAAACGAGGTATCTTCTTCCTCTTACTCTCTGAGCAATTCAATCCAAAAGCCAATAGGTAGGAGTCCAAATAGCACTGACTGTGTGCAAAATCAAAACCCAGTGAAGAGAAGGGGATGGGGTGAGAGGTGGGGCGGGGAGGGTGGCAATCTAGCACAGGGCAAGCCCTTTGGAACTTTGAACACTTCGCCTGGAATTCTCCAGAGCAGCGGCTGCCAACCTTTCGGACCTCACGGATCACCAGCAATCCGCAGACTACCTACTGTTGGCAACCGCTGCTCCAGAGCAAGACCACAAGTTCATTGGATACATTTTGTATCATCCTTGCTCACTGCCTGCTGCCTGTGTGTGATTTAGGGCTCTGACAATCTCCAGGAACAATTTCCTTATTGCACTTTGCAATCTCCTTGCTACTGTTCAGGACTCGGCAAGCTTTCTGCTTCCAAAGTCAATGCTCTGTGTTTTAGGGTTTTGGAAGCGTTACTTTCTGTTTCAATCACCCATTGCGGGGCTTGGAAAATAGGTTCCATAGGTCAAATCCAGCCCACCACCTGTTCTTGTAAAGACATTTTATTAAAACTCAGCCATGCATATAGGTTTAGTACAAGAGACCATCTTGCCTGTAAAACCTAAAATATTTACGATGTCAACATAAGAAATATCCAAACCGTGGCTCAGTGGTTGCGGGTCAATGTATGAACCAGGTAGTCACAGTTTGATTCCCGGTCAGAGCATATGCCCAGTTGCAGGCTCCATCCCCAGTGTGGGGCGTTTTTAAGGGGCAGCCGATCAATGATTCTCTCTTATTATTGATGTTTGTAGAGGGCCCCCTGGGAAGGCACATGGATATTTCCTTAATTATCATTAGCTGAACTCAGGGCGACAGACAGAGCCACGCCCTGGGAACATGCTACCCTAAAAAGGCCAGTCCCTGTTATCAGTACTGACTTTTTACCTTTGTCCAGGTGTTGGGGAGCGGGCTTTGATATATAAATCCAGTCAAGCACCAGAAATGCTGCGGCCTACTTGAATGCAAATAAGCTCCTTTGATTCTAAGTTTTGGTGATACTTCCTGGTATTTGGGATATATAAATAAACACACTTCTCCATCAGAGGTGACATCGGTTCCACCCAGCTCCCAGCTTTATAAATCTACCTATTAATCTACCATAACACCAATATAAACAGCCTGTCAGGATGTTACTCCCACCCACACTTTGTTCTGAGTGCCCAACTGGACTTCCTCTCAAGACCTAAAGTGAGGTAGGCTTCCTCCAGCTTCCTCTTACCCCAATCTCCACGAAAATGCCCCTGACATTGGTGCTAGGCCCCTCGATAGTGAGTTCAGCCATCCATTTCTAGCAACATCTGTTCCCAGGACAGGATATGTCCACGATCTATTGGGATCAGTCCTTTGCCTC